TGGGGGGAATGGAGAAAAAAAGGAAGGGAAAAGCAAAAGTATATATATGCATATACGTGTATATGTGCATTCAAGATAGTTATGCTACTACTTTCTCTTAGTTCACTGAAAAGAAAGCTTTGTGCTAATATCGTTTGGACAATTAAAAGCTTATATCTTGTACTGAATAACTTAATTTAAAGGTAACAATGCGCAATGTATTAACTATCCTTACCTCCTTTTATCTTGTTTTGAAATGTTTTTCTCTTTACAATAAACAAAAAACAAAAAACAAAAATCACTAACAATGCTGGTCTGATAATGTATGAAGGGATCACTGGGGGCCTTGAGCCCAGTGTTTTTGGAGGACGTTGGTACAGAAAGGGCTAGGCTTCACAAAGTATAGTTATAACTCTGTAGACTTTATACATCTCACAAAAAGGTAGTTTTGATCTCTTTCTTGACTCAGAAGGAGCACTTAGCAGAAGTAGAGAAATTATCTATGAACCTACCTGTTTATTTGGTATTTATAAAAACACATCTAGCTACTCACCACCTATGTTAACAAATACTCTTAAATCCCTGTGTGCTCAGTAGTGTAAAGACTCTATGCACATGATCAAAGCACTTCCTCTTGGCCAGTGAGAGGCTTATGGTTACTAACTACTCTCTTGCAAGATTCTGAGTCATCTGCTCAGTTGGTCATACTTTACAGTGAAACACAACAAGGGACTCAAAGGTCAGCAGCTAAGCAGGCAACAGTGTCTCTGGAGAGGGAGTACTCTTATGAACATTCACACAAAAAGACGAAGGGTGCCACAGATACACACACTGAACTAAAACGGGTAAGAAGAGTGGCAAAAAGCAGAACACCGGTCTCAGTCTTGTAAATTTATGTCTACCTAATGACTGTAATGAAGAGATTGTAGACTGTAAACAACTACTGTTCAGCGTTGTTTGTCATAATATATTACTGTTCTTTGGTAGTTAACTGTGCTTTTTAAAAAGAGCTGCTTACCTATATAATAAAATGGAAATAAACTACCTATTCATGTGGGTCCTTTCTGAGAAGGCAAAGGGGTGACTGCCTCAGTGGTAGGACACTTGGGTCAGAACACGATACAATCACAATGTAGTGGACCTGTGAGGACCAGAGGCCACTACGCATCAGAGCCACAAGGGAACGGACAAGGGACTCTGAGGACCTAGTGGCCAATGGCTAAGGAGATGGCAACAGGTTAAAAGGTGAAAGAAACGAGGAAAGCAGTGCAGGAAAGGGGAGGCAGGCAGGCGAATGGCTTTCCACCGGGCTCGGTCTTCCTCCCTGTCAGGAAGAAGCGCAACATTTCCAGAAAGGGCTGCAAGTCCTCCGGGGACTCTGATTTATGAAGATTTACTCTCCTTCCCTCTGTAAAGCTGTTAGCAGAAAGTGCTGACTGGCTGCAGCAAAGAATTTCTCATCAATGCTCTTTGATTGTATTTTGCAAACAAAATGCCTGTTGCTTGGTAACATTTCACTTGAGCCTGACCTTCTCTGAAAGTTATTGCTATCAGATTCGATTTACACTGTCCTCCTATGATTACTGTAATCTTTTAAACCCGGGAGTTCATCCATCAGGGGAAAGAAAAGTTGGTTGTGTAAGTGGAGAGCATGGCTGTCCACCAGATTTACAATCGGATGGGGTGTGCGGAGGGTGATTCTCCTCCGAGGGCAGTGGGCTCTGGTTTCTAGATGTGCAACGCTCTGTTTTTTCTGCCACCCATCGCTCTCAGCTCCATAAGATGGACACCAGCCTCCCCCGTGCCCCTCCTGTAGGAGCTGGCCGTGCAGAAAGACCAGTGGCCCGGTACCCAGAGTGGCCAGAAAAAACAATGGGATGCCAGCTAAATTTGAACTTCACATAAATAATAGATTTTTACTGCGTGCTGCATGCAATATTCGTCATCCTATGTTTTGTCTGTTTGCAGGATCTTTGCTAAGTTAGGCAATTCACCTCCTCCGAGCTCCCAGCTCTGAAAGGACTGGGAGGGAATGCTTGAGAAGAAGCCGGAGAGGGCAGGGTGAGTTTTGAAAGTAGGAGTCACTCCTGGGTGACAAAAGCCCACAGGCCAGGAGGCAGCGCTGGCACCGGGGCAGCCTGGGGCAGAGCAGGACACAACACAGCCTCAGGTCGGGCTCCAGCCCCACTGGCTTCTCGCCCCTTGCCTTTCTCCAACTCTAGCACTCACCGTAGAGGGAGAGGAGAGCTGGCTGTTTGCCCCATCCTATCCTACCCCACCCCACCACCCAGCAGAGCAGCAGTCGCCCACCTGCTTCTAAAGCAAGGCCAGGGCCCCTACTCCCACGCCAGCCCCAGTTATGCCTTGAAAGAGACGGTAGTATCACCCGTTTATTTCCTTTTTATCTGGTGGGTTTTTGTTTTTTAAGCCCTCGCTTCAAATTAAGCAGTCTTAACACCAAAGTTAGTTTTTCCGTTCATAGGTACATTTCACAGACACCTTTATGTCTTTCCTGCTGCTTCCTTCCTCCTGGCCTGTAGTCACAGAGCGCTTTCCTTCCCGGCCTGGATAAGTACTCCTGTAATATTTCTTATACTTGAAAGCACTTCTCTTTCAAAAAATAAATAAAGTAAAATGAAAAGCAAAGAAGAAAACTGGGAAAACCCAATCAAGCTGGAGCTGTAAATCGCAGAGCAAGCATAATGATTCTGGGAGGTAAGAGGCCAGAGGTTAAATAAAATAAAGGCAGATTTTCAAAACCTCCTAACTGCTTTCCCTCTAGCTACCTTGTTGCTCCTTTCAGAAGAAATAAACCCGAAGGGAGATCTGATCTTCCTATTTAATCCTGCTCTTTTATTTCTAAGCAAATACATTTTCAATTTCATTTTCCTTCAAAAACCCTTAAAAGAATTTGAGCACATATTTATTTTGATTGCAAATGTGGAAGAACTGTAGATCTGAGAAGAATCGACAGCCACTGATCTATTCTCTCCAGGGACCTGGCAGCCAGCAGTCTCCCAGGCAAAAGCTGGGGCAGGGAAGAGAGCACAGTGCGGGAACGTAACTGCACTTTCTCACCTTGGCCGTGACCCTTAGTCTCCCTCAACTCTGGAGCCCACAGTTCTGAAAGGCTGGCTTGGTGGCTGAGACTGCTGATTCAGACACACTAACCGCTGAAAGATATCCTGCTTGCTGTAATAGTTTCTGGGGGGAGGGGTGTGAGAGGATGTAAAAGGGAATTTAGAATAAATGAATCCCATAGTATGAATTAAGAAGCTTAAACCAGAATTTGTTTTCAATCAAATCTAATTAATTTTAGGTTAGTCATAGATGGTAATCAAATAGTAGAAGAAATCTATACCCAAAAAGAATACAGTCACCACAGGATGGGGAAATTCTCCCAAAAAGCCACGATACATATTACACCGTTAGACAAAAATCATCCCCTTTCCTGTAAAGGATCTGAAGCAGAATTTGGAAAAGATTTCTTTTTCTGTCAAAACTTTGTTGTGGTATTAATGTGTTGCTCCCTGAACCTGGTGGTATTTCTCCAAGGGGGTGAGCAAAGGTACTCTTCCCAAAGGCATATGCTTTCTTCAAAGATTTCTGCAGAAGAAAATGACTCCATGTGCTGTACACTTGCATTTGTATCCAAGAAAAACTATCTCCCCACAGCTAGGTACTAAAGAGGCCCTTGGGCCTGCAAAAAGACAACCACATTTTAAAATCAAAGTTCATAAAGAAGTAGATCTACATGACTTGCCCGGAAATGTTTAGAGCTTCCGGATAGCCTGAGTGTTGATTATACATGTAGACCTACCATCCAAATAGAGCTCAGCTTACCCTTTATATGGAGTGAGCTACTTCTCCAAGAATATCAGGTATGCTTCTAAACATGCATGGTATGTTACAAATACATTATAAAAACGGTGCCAAAAAAGGTCTAACACACACCAAATCTTAACCAAAGGTTTTCTCTAATTTAAACTCCAAGTGGACTTTCTCTTTACACATGCTACATAGGTTTACTTGCATGCTCACATTCCTAGTGGAAAATAAAACTTGTTCTTTTCTAGCCCCTAGCTTCATCTGATTGGTGAATGCCTTTTTTTAAAGCATGGAATTATATGACCAAATCAACTGAAAGATGAAAATGAAAGTTGTGCAAATGAATGTGTAAGGTGCATGTCTGGAAACTGACCTCTTGGTCCCTGACAGCTCAGTCCCCTAAAATCATCACTCTGACCTCTGCCTGCAAATCACTTGTGTTCAATTTTGAGAACTAATGTGATCTCTGAATACTTGGGGAGAGGAAGAAAGCGCCAGATCGGATTTGTCCAGTTGAAATCCTCTGCCCTTTTTTCATTCCCCCAAAGCTTGTGTCCCACGGCTCCTGCTGCCTTCCTGCCCTCCTCACTCCTGCTCCTTCCAGAGCATTTGTGGGTTTTGTGACTTTTTATAAACCACTGATTTTGCTTATGTCAAAAATCAGAAGAACACAAGAGGGAAAGGAATTGCCTCTTGAACAAGAAGTACAAAACACAGGGAATGCCTTATCGCAGTGAAGCTGATGGGACAGGTGACCAGTGAGAAATGCTATCCCTATTACTAACTCAGACTCCTGCTCCAGTCCTGGGGGGAACAGAGTCAAGAAACTGGAAATAGAAAAATTAAGATATTATCATGGAATCACTTCTACAGCTGATCTCCTAGTTATCTGTTCTTATCTAAAGGGAATGTGACAAAATAAAAAACCCACAATGAAACAAAACAAAAACCTCACTTCTGACCCTCTCTAGTTACTCTAAGCAAATCCATAAACGTGCGACTCTTAGAGACAAAAGAGAGACAACTGTGGAGCATGCCGCAAAAAAATGCTTCTATGTTCACTTGGATTAAATATTCACAGAACCTATGTTCAGCAAACTCTGTCCTTAAAACACTCAGTCTGACCTCACACAAGATGTTCTCAGCGCTTCAGACCGGAGTAATGGGATAACAGAACTGACCTCTCAGCTCACCATAAATCCCATAAGCGCAGGAAACCCCCAGCTCCACACAGCAGTCCAGTGGTTCTGAAAGCCTCTCTGCCGAAGCCAGGGCACTGTTTTTGAGGTTAAGGAGGTGTAGGCTGCTGCTCTACCCTCAGTTCTACTCAAAATAAGGCACTGGGCCTTCCACTCCCAATTCCAGCACGCCCCTTTACCTAAGAAGATGGGCTTTTTTTTCTCCCTTTGTACATTTGCCCCAGTGAAAGGGAGACACCAAACCTATGTTCACCTAATTCCAGGAGCCTTGGCTGGCTGGACAGCATCAGGACAGAAGCTCGAGGTTTCCCAGGAGGATACAGAGTAAGAGACCGGCAATGCCAAGAAGGAAGCCAGAAGGAGAGAAAGAATGGAAGGGGTGGGGATAGGGTTAGAGTTAGGGCTCCTGGAACAGATCTATTTTCCCTAAAACTGCGGAAGACGTGAAAGGAACAGAGGAACGAAAAGGCAAGAAAGCTGGGAGGAGGGGGCTTTAGCAGCCTGCGGCCCAAACCCACGTACAACCCTGGAAGGGGCTTTCAAGAAGTGGCTTTCCTCACTGCAAGGTCTAGTTTTTGTTTTGATCTCTTGCACCCACAACAGCTGAGCAGCCTGGGAAATGGTGTTAAAGGACCTCAGCAGTTCTGCAAAAACGAGTTGACGGCTACCCAGCGCAAAGGAGTCTTTCGGGACCTTTTTACGATCTTCCTAAATGAGGCTCTTTGACCAAACTGCAAGGGCCTGGACTGGGAACGCAGTTAAGGGGGTTGCGGGAGTTGGAGATAACGTGTCCTCTCTGCAGTTCCCCTGGGCCACGCGGAGGAGCGCGTCCCGCCCGCACTCAGCGAGCCCCTCCTCATCCCTGCCGCAACTTCCAGGCCTCTAAAACGCGCTGCCAGGGAAACCTTGGCCGATGGCGGTGACTATTCTCGCCTTCAAATTTAGTCTTGCCCCGGGCCTCTTTTGCCAAAGAATTTAACACGCTCCCTCTGGCCTAGGGAAGGCACCTGGCGTTCCCAACTCGGAGTCCCGCCTTTTGGCTCTCCTTTCTCGGGATCCAGGCTTAAGGCTGACTTCTCCCAGGAAACTTCCCAGAGGAG